AATCTAGCATGAATTATAGAGAGTACAAGTTGAAATGTGGATAATTAAGTCAAAATTTAGTCCTTAATTTCCTCACACAGAAGTTATTTTCACTCACAACCAAAATGACTACATGTAACATACTGTAAGACTGTAGATGGCTTGTATACAATCATTGTATGACATTTCTTATTCTCCTCTGAACGTGAGTATCTGAATTATATAAAGGAAGACTGCTTATTAGGTGCTATATAGTACATATTAAAACAAAGAATAGACAAAAAAACATTTGCTGCCCTGAAACAAATGTATACAAATGAAGATGTCTAGAACAACTGCCTGTGGACAGAACATAAAACTGAGTATAACACTGAATACTTTCAGTTACCCAAGAGCTAGGGGAAGAAGAGATGTTAGGGTCTTGGTACAAACCATAAGAATAAAATTAAGAACACCAGAAAGATGTTTTTCATCAGCCTACATAAAGCATTAGTTTTTGAAAAAATGAAATGCTCCCAAAAGCCAAAAAACAACAACATTTTTTTTTTCCTTAGGAAAACCATTTTGTTGTGAAGAAGCCCACTATCATACCTCCCAAATGATTTTAATTTCTGGGATGTAATAACTTGTGTGGAAAATGGTTACTTATACCATGAAAAAACAGAGAATGTAGACACTTGCAGGAAATCTGCAAGTCTGCTTTGAATTCATGCTGTATGTAAGAAAACTTTTTTCCAACAAGGACAAGATCCTTTATAGACAGTACAGCACTGATTCTAGATGCCATTTAATTGAGATCAAACCAAACTACAAAACCAGTCTTCTGGCATCAGAAAGGGATTTTACTCCACAAAGAACAAAAATATAACCATCCACCGTGATGTTACGGGCATGTGTATCATTTTAGTGCATAAAAACAGGCATGTCCACAGGACCTGACATGCCAATTACAGGCTGCTGGGGAACATTTTCGTCTTTCCCCCCCCAACATAACATGCATTCTCCTCCTAGAGTGGTGCTGTTTTACGCCCCCCTCATTAGAGTGTACAGGACATGAGACATGATTCACTGTTTCTCTGAGCTTGCAGCTCACATACTCCCAGAATCAGAGTCTCCTGCTCTGCCTAATTCATGTAACCGAGCTCCTCACACGTTGATACCTTCATTCAATGAGCCTCACCCTTCGCTTTCAGGTTCTTTCCTTTTTATACTAATCCTCTTTTGAGAGCAGCAGTGGAAGAGCTTTGACTCAGTTGCTCCCATTTGGCTGGACCTGCTCCACCACCTTCTCTACCTTAACAGTAGGCCAACACGGCAACGACCGAGGCTACTACTCATTTTCGAGTCTTCCCTGTGGCTCCGTGTTTCCGACTAGAGTTTTCCTGCTCCCAGCCACCTCATGCAAGGGGCCTCCTGCTCCTCCAAGAGCCTCCTCCAAGTCCCCCACACTCTTCCATGATGGCTACTGGCTCATTCGCCTCCTGCCAGTCGGCCCACAAACATCCAGGTCTGCTTCCAGCCTCCAACCTCTCTACCATACTGCACCAGGGTGGGTCTCACACTCACAGCCATAATCACTCGGGTCCCAGACTGTGCACTCATGGATGCCAAAGTTGCTCTCTCTCACACGTTCAGTCATAATTCACAACTCACTCAGATTGCACATACTGTAGCTTCCAGTGCATCTCTTTACCCCAAACTTCACTGTCTCACTCAGTTCACTGTTTTCCCTGCTGCATCTTCCCACTCCACGTCTCACATTTATAGAGTAAGGGCACAGCCATATCACTCTGCAACTCACAACTGGCAACCCACTGAAGCTCAGCAGGTGTGAGCCTGGTCAGTACCTGGATGAGAGACCTCCTGGGAAAAACTAAGGTTGCTGCTGGAAGAGGTGTTAGTGGGGCCAGCAGGGGGCGCCCACCCCATGGTCCATGTGGGTCCTACTGCCCCAGGTAAACAGGTGCCATTCTTCGGATGAGACGTAAAACCGAGGTCCTGACTCTCGGTGGTCATTAAAAAAAATCCCAGGGCGTTTCTCGAAAAGAGTAGGGGTGTAACCCCGTCGTCCTGGCCAAATTTCCCATTGGCCCTTACCAATCATGGCCTCCTAATAATCCCCATCTATGAATTGGCTTCATTACATTGCTCTCCTCCCCACTGATAGCTGATGTGAGGGGAGCGCTCTGGCGCATTATGGCTGCCATCGCATCATCCAGGTGGGGCTGCACATTGGTGGTGGTGGAGGGGATTCCCCACTACCTGTAAAGTGCTTTGAGTGGAGTGGCCAGAAAAGCGCTATATAAGTATAAGCAATTATTATTACTATTTCTACTACACCCCTGTTCTCAGGTCCATTCATTGCCAGAGGCCAGCAGCCAGACAGAGCCCTAGACCTTGCTGACTTTCACATACTGTATACCTGCATCAATGGTGCATTCACATTGTCGCCACCACATGCCTACCACCAGAGGGCAGCAGCCAGATACACCCTTTTCTCCACCCGATCCTCATATTGTCGGGGGGAGGGTCTCTCTACCATCCCTACTCTCCAGAACACAGACTAATTAACTTTCACAACACTCACACATTTCACCGACAGCCCAGTTCTTTCACTCCAGAACATGCTGTCCCTTTAAATAAAGTGATCTTTCTAAACTTCCAATTCCCTCCAGAATTGTCATACTTAAATGGACCCTCCCGGGGTAGACACAATGCTACAAACATTTCAACCTCCCAGTCTCCTCCAAGATTGTCATTTCCACTCCTTCCCCCTTCCAGGGCATTACAGCTGTAGCCTGTTAGTCTGCTCTCACACAACACAGAACCGCTCTCTCTCAACACTGACAGCAGCGGCACTTCGCGCCCACTGCTAACATGCAGACAGTGACCTGTTTTCTCTCTTTCACTGCTTCAGTCAAGCCACTCTCCCTGCCGTGCTTCAGCGAGAGTTAAGTGGAGACATTCATCTACAGACACTTGCCCACCCTCGATCTCCTGTTCACTTTCGTTCAAGGTAAATGGGAGACCTGATCTTACATCTGCCCAACGCTGAAGCTAACCCAGAACTGACAGCTTGGCTTGACCTCCTCATAGGGAAGTATTCACTCTGCTCTCATAGGCACGCCACCACCTGTGTCTCCTAAATTTACAGGCTTCCTTTATCGGTGGTTGCATAGCAACCACTTACTTCTCTAATGAGGCAAACACGCCCTGTATTATACCACTATATATACTAAGAGATGGACACCTCCTGTGCGAAGAGAAAATCAGAAGGACTGGTCTAGCCAAAAACCTGCCCTGGAAGCTATGGAACACAGGCTGCGCCAAGAATAGTTCACCTTTGACATGGCTGCTCCTTGAGCAGTTTACCATACATTAGACATGACCAAGGACCTTTCTATAGTCCTCCACCCCCCGCCCAACATCAAGCGCCTGTTCAACATACTTCATATATAACAATGGACTTTATTCAAGCGTAGTGTAATGATACGATTGTTCCTTACCTCACATTATTTGTACTATAGCTGGAGAGAAGTTTTGATGTGAAGTTCACCTATCCAGAGCTACAAAAATCTTCTACCCATTTATTATTGTAATGTATTGCATTATTATTGCTTGTACTTTTAAACTAATTCGTACTTTACAGTGCACATAGAACTGAAAACAAATATGTAAAATTACCCTTTATCACTGGTAATTAATTGCACATACTGTAGCTATATTTGCCATCACAAAAAAAGCTATTTTTAGCTTCATGAAAGCAATCAGTGCAACAACTTCCCAAATAAAGTTTCAACTGCTTATCATGATCACAGTAATAACAATCAGGCCCCTTGTTTATGTTTTGATTCAGTTAACAGAGTCTGGACAAAGTCAGGAGGAGTATTGCTCAGAATGTTTAGCCAAATACAGGATGGCATAACAACTAAATTACCCAAATGCCTGGAATACCTTGGTTGCTCTTGTCCAGGCATTAAAAGACCATATGAAGCTGATAACCTCAAATTATTATTCTGTATGCTGTACATGCATAAAACACGAACTTTCAAGTACATTTTCCGTAAACTGCACACTATATAATACGTCAGTACAGTGGGCAGACAAGTATACCACCACCTCTTCACAAAATGTATACTGCTGCACAAGAGTACACCTTACATTTACTGTAACCAGTTTTAAAGTTTTATTGTGCAACCAGACTCATATTATAAAAATTCCTAGTTTTATTTTACTTGAGCTTTCATTAGAATGCAGACAGTCTTATGGAATTTTTGGTCCGGGGGGCCCCCCAATCCAATAAGTGTTAGAATTTCTTTATCCAAATATTAGTTTTATTTTGGAATTAAGCGACTGTGACTTACTGGAAGTCAGGAAGTATATAAAACAAAAAAACGGAAATACTCATAACTGATTGGATAATTTGCATTAATTACCTACGCTTTTGTAGTATTTTTTCTAAAACATGGGCCTGGGCTCAAGGGAATGCCCTACCCCAACAGGCACAGGTAAAAACCTAAGTTATTGAACAGAGAAGTCTACTAGGAAACCTAATCCAATTATTTAAAAGTCCACAAAGGCACTGAGAAAGTCAACCCAGCAGACTCCTTCAGGAGAAACGCTTTAAATACAAACATGAAGACAACAAGTGAAAATTACATTAAAGTGCATTTGAACCTGATTTCAGGAGGGTGGAGCATTTCCTTACACAAAAGACTGTAGGAGTTCCCAAGGCACGCAGTTGAAGATAGTGTACTGTAGGCTTCTTTCAAGAAATGACTAAGATCCTTGCAACTCATTATCACGATCTACAAAATGGGCTAGATAGCCCAAATGACCTCCTCTAGTTTGTAACCATGCTTATAGTTTTTTTTAACGTTAAACAAGTTAAATCCTTTATGCTTTTTGTTCTTGTGCAAGTGCATCATTTTCCATTGACGTATACTCTCTATGTAAAGAATCAAAGCTTTGGCTGTACTAGTTATTACACAACAGAGCTGAAGAGAAATTCTGCCGACTTCCTCTAAAGCTAGGCAACTCCCAGCTAGTAAAAGAACACTCGGCCAAAATCCACAGCAGTATTAACCAGACTACCCTGCAAAGACGAACATATGAAATTGCACGGGAGACGTTTTTTTTTAAAAAAACTTTTACAGCAGGATGTCAAATTCACCTGGAAAACAAACTGTATGTACTACATTTACCTCAATATTTTAGTGATAAAAAGGAAGTCAAGCTTTCTGTTCTTGGGATGTTAAGAAAACATTTAATAAAGAGACAAATGCCCTAAAACTGTTAACACAGTTATCACAACATGAACACCAGGGTGAGATTAAGAATTATGTGAGCAAGATATATTTTCTAACCGATTTCACATGCCTCTGTGGAGTCGTCATTATTTATTTTCAGTGTAAAATGCAGTGTAATCTTAAATCATTTCAATTGTACTGTAAATATATTGTGTCAGGCGTTACCAGCGACCATGGTCATGGATTGGTACGGAGTAAATATATCATCAGTTAAGGTGAAAAAATTACACCCTTCATCTTTCAACGTTAATGATCCAAATCCAATCATCACATATAATCAGACTAGATTCCTATAGTCGTCTCTACATATTTTAAACGGGTTACAAACGTGTTGTTGTATTATAAGTTATTTTGTTTTTGTCAGAAAATACCTCCAAATGACATAAACTGCCTGATACGAATCAGAAATGTAGAATATTTAATCGACTCTCACTTAAAATAAGCAAACAGGTGCCTTCCCACTAATACATTGTACATTGTGCTATAATTATGGACTGGAGGTCTATTCTGACCACATCACAAACAAAAAGGCTGGTAAACATGTTACCATCTACTATCGCGAAAATAAAAAATAAACTATCTGCAAATGCATAATATATGTTTTTGAATTAAGTAACTCGGTTGTAAAATTTCATAAGAAGTTACGCATTTATTACTGATGTAACCTGCTTAGGGTGTATTCAATTAGATGACAAAGTACGTGGGGTAGGGACGCCGTAAACTTATGTAAATAACTTCTTTAAATTGTGTTTTGTCAAGAAACATGGTAGGGGTTTAATCAAACGATTACACATTTAAGATTTTCTGGTAAGTAACAAGGGAAGAAATTAAAAAATCTACATGTCCCCGCTCCTTCATCTGCACAGTTTGTTATAATGTTACCAAATGATTTGGGCATTTTGTCCTTACCGTGTATCCTTTTTCCATTGCATTATCCTCAAATCGGAAGGAAGGAATACACACCATTAAAGGATGCATCACGCAAATAAGACTAAAATAACAGAAAAACGTAAGCAGCAAAACAAAGTAACTAAACGTAGTGTCGCTTATCCCAGCGTTTCATGAATAAAAAAATCTCACTGGTGACAGTCAAACTTTGCTGCCTGCGTACGACATGCCCATACGCTTTAAACAGGACACGTGAACGGTCACATGACACTTACTGACAATAAAGCTCCGGCTTTTACTCGCGCACTCCTTAAATCTTGAAATGTGTCAAATGAAGGAGGTGCGTTTGTCTTTAATCATCAGAAATAACTGCAGAATGTGAGATAGGCAATAGAAACGTGTTCTGTCTTTAATTAATAAAGCAGTTAGCTGACAGGTAGAAGTGCAGTTCTTACTATGTACTATTAATAAACACGTATTCATTCAGTGAATAGCATTTGTGTTTAGGTGCAGGGTTCATCTTTAGCTGTATGAAGTAAAATTCTACGCTTTTGCATCAATGAATCCAGTGAAGAAATTAACTCCGTGAGATAAAGTGAAAGCTAGAGCCTTCGTCACTGAAAATACCAACTGTAACTAATTACATTGCTCATCTGCCAACAGCGGACATCGAAAATCAAGCAGCTCGGGGTCAATGTGGGAGCTATACTCCTCCACTTTGGTTGGTCCTCTACGAATCCATCCAGGACTCCAGCCTGGTGGTATCCCAGTCCTAGGATGTCTCCAAGGATGTCCTTCTCCTTCAGCTATGTCTGAAGGACATTTGTGTATGTCAACAGTTCCCTGTTGCTGGACTTCTGAGAGCTGACTACATTGCCACCTGTCTGCTACTGCCTCTTTGAGGGGCTGTCCAGATGCCACTCCTCCCCCAGTCTGTTATTGCTCTTCTAAAAGACCTTCTAGGTTTCTTTCCTGTCTACTACTGCTCTTCCATGATGTGGATGTCTAAACTGACACTGTTTGTTGTTTGCTACTTAAAGAATCTTAAAGTGACACGGGGTCTCTCTTGCTTGCTGCTCATTGCCATGTGTTCAGTGGCACAGAGAATTTCTAGCCACACCTTCCTTTTACCACAGGCTGCCACTCTTCTCTTAATCTTACCAGGATCTCTGACTGAGCCTCACACAACGTGGGCAAGTCCCTCAAGAGTCAATCTTCAAGCCAAGCTGGAGGACTGCCTGACTTATCTCTGGCTAGTTAAACTTGTACAGTGTCTTCCAGGCCTGGCTCTTAAGCATATTCTTTATCAGCATCTTCATCACTAAGAAGTCTGAGACAATATAATGACTACATGTGATCCATGTTTTTTTATTGTTCAAAGCTACCTTGAATTTAAGATCTGTAGCTATCTGTGTTATACTTTTCATTGTGAAATGCATCCTTCTTAGGGGTGTCTATAAAACCTTTTGTTATTGTATTTCTTCTTTTAAATGTTATTGCTTTTTTAATCTCTTTACGTTTTATATCAATCATAAAATGTTAGTAGAAACACAGAAACTAAAATAAGACAACTCTGCCTTCAGTTTACAAAAAACACCTGTGAATTAAAGTTTATCCGGTGGGGCTTTACATTTATCTACTACAGCTTTGAGTTGAGTAGTGTCATTAATAATACTGTAGTACACATTGAACCACAGGGGACAGACGAAAGCAAGACCTTTCATCATCTGAGCTGTAAAAAATGAAATTCTAGTTTATGGATACCTTTTAATATAGAGTCTGATTTTGACAGATTGTCAATATGACAAAGACTTTGTAATAAGCAGTGTTACAATTTTTGACAGCAATTCAGAGTTGTATATGCACAACCATAAACACTTGACAAGACATCAGTGGAGCAGGATCCCAGTTTTAAAAAATTAAATTGCAATTCCTTCAAAACATATTACGACAGAAATAAATCACCAGAGAAAATAATCAAATGTCGTTTTAGTTTTGGAGCATTCCTGAGAACTACATTACAATGAGCATACTTTAAAAAACCATGAGTATTTCACTCAGACGTTTACCAAAAAAAGTCCACAATTCCCGTTGAAGAGTTTAAGAGCTTTACAGGTATTATAAGCAACAGGGAAAGGATGGTATTCTACACATTGTAATTTAGGTAGATGCTATTCATAAACCATTAGCAATCTTTGCGCAGTCTTTCTAGACAGAGGTATTACCTACTGACTAAAATTGCTATTCATAATCATCATCATCATCATCTTACACTTATATTGAGCTTTTCTGGACACTTAATGGGGACTCCTCTCCACCATCAAAGTGTAGCCTCCACCAGTACGCTCACCACACACAAGCTATCAACTGGGAGGAAAACAGAATTATTAAGCCAATTCAGAGATGGGGATTTATTAGGAGGCCATGACTGGTAAAGGTCTGGGGGAACATTTAGCCAGGACACTGGGGAAACACCCTGGGATTTTTAATGACGATGGAGAGTCAGGACCTCAGTTTTACGTCTCATCGTGTCATCCGAAGGACAGTGCCTTTTTTACAGTATAGCGTCCCCATCTTTATACTGAGGCATTAGGACGAACACAGACTGCATGGTGAGCGCTCCCTACTGGTCCCACTAACACCTCTTCCAGCTTCAGCTTCAGCCCATCCAAGTACTGGCAAGACTCACACCTTCTTACCTTCAGTGGGTTGCCAGTTGTGAATTGTAGGGTGATATACAATAGTTGCTGGCACATCCATAAGAACCAAGTAATATAAAACTAAGGAGTCTTACTTCTATCATGTGTAAAGGTATGAAAACAATAACTCAAAATAAGACCAAAGATTTGAAAATAAGATTTTAAGTCACAATAGGATTGTTGAGGTCTATTGTACAAACAACTACAGTAATGGACTCACACAGAGCATATTATATGGTATATTTAAATTTTCATAAGAGATTGCATTCTCAAATTGGAAACAGGAGGCATTGAAGGTAAGGATTGAGAACTGATTAATGGAGAGTAAACAGTTAATGTGTACACATTACAAGGTGAATGCTCTGATTTAATCAGAAAAGTATCAATGGGTTCTGTATCAGGACCACTGTTGTTGCTAATTTATATAAATGATTCAAGTAAAGTTAATAACCTGGGGGAAGAGTGCAGAGGATATGCAAATAGGAGAATTAGCAAGTGATGTAGAAGTAGCAAAAGAAATACAAAAATATGTAGATACAATTTAAGAATAAAATAAAGAATAGAAACCTATCATATGTTGTTTCAGTGCAAAACATTTAATGCAGGTAATAAAAGCATAATCTACAGTATAGATGCAAAAAATAGAAAAGGTTATAGTTGATAAAAATAGAGTTTATATGGGTACTCTAGATGAGAAAGTGAAGCATTTTATAGCTGGCGCAAGGATAGCACTGCTCACTCTTGGGTCCGGGGTTCAATTTTGGATTAGTGCACTTTCTAGTGGAGAATTGTTAGAGTTCTGTGCCCTGATTTGAGCCATGCTGCTCTGGGTGTGGTTTGTGTTGGATGGAAATGTGACTAATAAGTTAAACAAGTTGATTTATCCCTAATAATTAAAATAACACTCCAAATTATAAATTTAAAAGTAAGAATGTTGTTTGCTATTGTTAAATTTGTGTTCATTCTGAACCATGTTCATCCTAGGTTCTGCTACTTAATGATTCTATTTTTACTTTCTGTATTAGAAGGAAGCGCAGCTTAAAAGTTTAGTTTTTTCTCCCCAATTTCACAGTCAGAACACTGTGAAATTTCCAGTCATGATAAGTAGAAAGTATCCATGCAGAAACAGAGGAAACAAGACAATTGTTTGAAAAATACTATTTGAATTCCCCATTAACATAAGCAGTGTGCCTGATTTTCAACATGCACCAAATTGGGCTTTAAAAAGCAAACATATCTTTTGAGGGGGCTGAGTGTCAGGACAGGAAAGAATCTAGCAGGTCTATTTCTGTGTAGACACCAAGCTGTGTTTGCTTTGTGAAATAAAATATTTCAGTTTAGCAAAGACATTTTTGCTGTAACACTCTGGCTATCTTTCAGCAGTTAATCGCTTAAGGAACAACAGATGTAAAACATAAGGACTGCTTAGTGCAAACTGTACTCCACGAATTTCACTTGAACTCCAGCAAACTTTTAATCACACTGATACTTTGAGTGATTTATCTCAAGAGACCTGTTAAAAAAATGAGTCAGGGAAGTGTTTTTTGAAATAAAAGTTGTAGACACCCTTAAAAAACTCCACTTTTGACTGTCAAGTTTCTGTACCAAATGCCAATTTATCCTATCCTATCTGACCGCTTCCTGTATTACGACTTCCACTGAACATTAGTTTTGTTCTATTGTTTTTGCTGGTTAAACATATCTAAAATACACTTTTCTTGGTATTAAAAATCAAAGGAAACTGAAAGAAACCTGTGAATGTGATGTCATCCACAACCAAATTCTGCACAAGAAGTGAACACTCAGAAGAACACAACTAGGTGAGATTTTCTAAGCATGGTACCTATAGAGGAACTAATTATACCTTTATTTTCCCAATTAAATCATTTGAGAACATTCTGATTACAAACTGGAAGCCTATTTATACAGTGGGGCATTTACTGGAGCAATCCAAGCGAACTTCCTTCAAAGGAACAGCTGCTTGCCACCTGGGATTTGAACCCACAACCTTTCAGTCCAGAGATCTAACACTACTCCACAATGTTGCCTTATACACTGGTCCTCCTTCTCTAAACAGCAATGTTCTCTGAACATTAAAAAAAATATCAGCAGTATTTTGGGCATTTTTGTGTGATTTTATTTTAACTAGGCATCCTGCAAAGATCAGAATATTTAAGTTAACTGAGTGAATACAAAACAACAGTTTTACTCCACACAAAATCACACCACAATGTCTCATGGGGTACATTCCTTTATTATCACTATAATAATCAAAAAAGGTATGATTTCTGTACAGGAATGTAAAGTTAAATGAAAGAAGATTTTTTTTCCATTGATTTTGACAAAGATTTAAGAACACAAATGTTCATTTAAACTGAAATGTTCAAGGTTTTGGGCTCACACAGTGCACTTTTAGTGCATTGAAAACAATAAAAATAATAAAAAATAAGACAAAGCAGTAGTGTTTAATTAAACAAAGTACTGCAGAATATCATGCCACAGTCCTTTTAAATTTTGGATTGTAACACGACATGCAGTTTCTTCATAAAACAGCACAGGATAAAAAGGAGCCACAAGTTTGAAATTTTAAAATATTCAGTGGTTTATTGGGTGGTAATTCAGATTCCTTTTCCGTGCAATTTTTCTTTAGTGTGGAATTGCGATGTAAACATGAGAAGTGTCAACAGCATCTTCTAAAATGGAATCCTCCTTCGTTCAGGCTATCGCTTTGGCTTCTGGCAGGAATGCCTCCCAGTATTTTATCAGCTGTGGAAAGAAGCACACCAATGTTTAATAAAGTGAGAAGAGGTATATCCCTGCCAAAAATCTTGCAACATGTTCCAATAGTCTTCAAAAGCCTACCTGTCTCTCAGATTTATATGCTGCATATAGACAAAAACATATACATAGTTTTTTTCAAACATATACATGTTTTTTTATGAATCCCCCTCTGAACTCTGAATTCAACGTTTCTTGGATTTGTAGTGGTTAATGCTGAGTGATTCTGATTTTTATCCAATATACAATATTCTCTTTTGGTGTTTTCAGTTTTTTTTTTATTTTACTTTTTTTCTCTGCTTAACTCTTCTGTCTTTTTAACATATTTATGAAAAATACTTTATTACCAAAGGGTCTTCCTATTATAGCCATCTCCATAGGAAATTGTGGCACTGCCAATGTACTGAATACAAATACATTTATAGAATAGAATAAAATAGCAAGGATGCACTCCCATATTTCAAAGAGGGCTTGTTGAAGGAGCTTATTGACTCTAGATGGCTGGATATAAATGTACTGCAAGTGCAATTAACCTAATCACTACTACAGCACTAATTTGTCTCAATAAAACAGAACACCACATTTAAAAAAGGCTAGGATGATTTTAAAGGTTCTTCACAGGTTGTACATAATAGTAAGGCAATCATAATAGAACAAAAACAGCATCTGGAAAGTAACATTTCTGACTAATCCCTAAGGACTGACATTTGTTTCATGTTACACTTTCAGGTAACTTTATCATTTTAATAAAGTGTTATGATTTTTTTCTCTCCCACATTCTTTATTTATCCACATTCAGGCTTTTTTATATGAAGGAGTGCCGTTCTTCTCAGGTGACATCACCTTTAGGATGAGGCTCACAGCATTTTTCCAATTCCCACTTTCATCTCCAATGAACACCTCTTTCACTCATGCTTAACTGAGTATTTTAAAATTCAAAGATGGTTTATTTCTAGGGGGAGATGGGAGGTGGGCATTAAAAAATTCTCACGCAGCACCCTCCCAGTTACACACCTAGTGACAGTGCTCCCTGATTTGAGCAAAGCTGAATGTACTTTTTAGGAAATGTATTTTTTTTTCCATTCAACAATGCACTTCAGGACATGACAAATCCTGGGGTACCAATTGTAATTCTTGGGTCTTTAAACCCTGATAATTTTTATTCCATGTAAATTCTCATTTAAAGGAACTCTTCATTGCCCAGAAATACCACTATTTTGAGCTCTCTGGTGGTTTTCAGCTACTAAAAATCTCCCAACATGTGCATACATGAAACCCTTCAAAAGGGTTTGTGTTTAAGCAACCTATTGGTTCATGCCCATATGTCCAAGTATGTAACTTAGAAGTTCCAAGTAAATTAAAACTCAGCTATAGTCAGAATACATTATCAAAACTGGGTATCCTTGTAATAGGACACACAAATGACAACTGTTATTAATAATAATGGCGAAATAGATTTGTTATATATCCTTGGGGTTTCAAACCAAGCACTCTGTTATAAATGAATAACAGTTGTGATGGAGAAAAAGTGCTTATATAAAAGACTATAAAAATATTTATGAAAAAAGCACAGGTACCTGTTGTTGTGTCTGCACTAAGGACTCCAAGTACTTAATGATAACGGCTTTGAAGTCCGTCACTCGTTCTTTCTGTAGGCAGAAAAAAAAGGTCACATTAAAGTTTTAGAAAACAAGAATGTCAGCTTATTTTGTGTTGGATGGAAACAAAATTTAACATAAGGAGTTCAGACTGCCTTGAGAAGATACTTTGTAATCTGTACATGCCTCAAATCTTCCTACTTCTTTGCGGATGGTTTTGGAGATTTGTTCAAAGTCTCTCTCTCCTTGCTGGACTTTAACCTCCCACTGAAGAGACACAAAATGGAGAGAATGAGATAAGAGTTTAATGTCAAGAAGTAATATTATGGCATGTTTTAGTCTGTTCATCAATTTAGCTAAAAAGTTCCTTGGATGGGACATTTTGTTTAGGTACAGGTCTTTATAAAATAACAGCAGCTTTAAAATAAAGAAATTTTGAGTGACACAACTAGTCTGGAATAAATAAAAATACTACTATTTCTAATTCAAAAGTATTCTACAAAAACAGTATTAGCTAAACAGAAAATTAAAATGTAGGTGATTGGATGATATTTTCTGACCTTTTCTACAAAACCATGAATCCATTTGTAAGAAGTTAATGAACAAGAAAATCAGTTACACTTCTTCAGTTTCTATGTAGTTCCTTAGATACACTTTCTTCAATGTTTAATAATGCACATTATTCAATTAAATCTTAAAGAACAAACTCCCTTGAAATAAAAGACAAAACAGAGAAAATGTCTAAACAGCCAAAGAGACAGTTTTTTACTGCTCTATGAAACATTATTTTTTTTAATTCTCTTTAAAAGATAAAAGTAGCTGCAATTATTAAGCACAAAATAACTATTAGCTAATGCTTTGCAATTGGCAATCTAACACAACAATTAGAAATTAAAAGAAAGAACATTCTTGAGCCACCCTTAATCTTGGACAGAACAGACATCAGATATAACAGTACATTTATTTGCAGAACAAACTTTTATATCCTTAATTTGCAGAAAAGGCTTTAATTGTAATGTTTTGTACAGTACATTCCAGATGTTTTTAGGCCAGCCAGGCTAAACCAGGTAACAAATCACTAGTGATTTTAGACAGATGTTAGCCAGTATACATTGTGTACTTCATTTTTTGCTACAGAATTTAAAGGTCACAATCCCTGTAGGAAACTGTCACGTAGGAAAGGGATGACTATAATGAGTTCCCACATTTTGTAAACGGAAATTGTTATTCAGATTCCTAGGTGAAGGCAGAAGGAAAAGCTGACTTTGCAGATGAGCTAGTCAGTTTTCAGATAGTGACAAGTCATTGATTAATGCATTATACAACAGAAACGTTGTGGCAGGATGTTCATGTCTTATGGGGTGTCTGGAAGCAGAGAAAAGTAAATAAAATGAGGTGTGATGAAAAGATGACACAAAACAAAACAACGAGTAATTTACACAAGGTATACTTGTCAATTTTATAGGAATAGGCAACACTGATCTTCAAGATCAGCAGGTTTTAGAGGAACTTTTTAATTAAGAGATAAGGCTACCGGGATAGCACAACTGATTTGATTTCTTATCCCCTTAATTGAGATTGAATCAAAACCAGAAACAAACGCTGCAATTGAGGACCAGGGTCGCCTACCCTTGGTATAAATTATGCAGTTTCAGATTTTCTCATTTCTCTGAAAGTGCATCATGTACACTAAACAGAAGCAAAATACTTATTACTAATGATTTATGAGGTAAAAGAAAACCAAACCCAGGTTTGTCCTACCTCTTCAATTTCCTTTGTGAAGCATGGCAGAGAAAATGCATAAATTATGGCAAGGCTGAAAATGTATTATGCTGAAAAGTAATTCAAATATGAGATATTCTTTAAACTGACCTTGCCTTAACAACCTTGAAATCAAAGAGAACATATTAAGTGCTGAAATATACGAGAGATTTCTAAAGAGCCAATGAATCAACGTGTACTCCGTTACGTGAATTCTATACAGATGTGGGCAGTGGTATGAAGCAGGGCTTTGGTTCTGGCCTCTCAACCACATGGATTTCAGGAGAGATAATGTATCCTTTGAGCAAGGTACTGTACATAACTAAAATGACTGAGGTAAATGCTTTGCTGTAAAAAAGGGATCTCTTTAGTTCATCATTGTAAGTGAAATTCTGTTCTCAATTGGCTTATCTGAGTACACAAATGACTGCAAACATGTAATAGCTTAAAATGAGGTAAGAAGAAAGTATTTTATGTCAGTCAAAAAATCTGACATAGCTTTATGAATTATTAACAGAGTATTGTTAAATATTCACAAAGCTATTAACTTTTTTGTATCCAATAAATAAGTGTCTAGAACTATGGAATCTAATAAAGTGGTTTATAATGTTCAAGTAAAAACTGAGGTATATTTACCTTTGAAAGGATAATGTTTTAATGATTGCTCTACACAGAGAAAACAAAAAGTGAATTATTAAGAGCTTTTTGTAGATTTCTTGTATAGGAAGGGATGGCTCAAATTCTGAGGACATTCTGAGGGTGGCATCACACAAAATGAGAAGGGGAAGAGATGCGCTGAGCTCTGTGATATTCAGTGTACTACAAGGGGCTGTCACTCATCAATGATGTCAAAATAACTGGACGTTCCTCTGAGCCCCATTCCCCTTTCAGGGGCAGTGCTGAACGATGTACTCCAGAGGTGAGGTAGTTTATAAAACAATTCTCAGGTTTACCTCCTTGATTTCATCCTTGGCCTGCTGCAGTTTGTCTGGTTTATTGGCATACTGGAGCTTGGCCTCTGCCTCGCGTTTTTTCTGTAGCATAACCTGGGCATCCTGCCACTTCGACCAAGTCTTCATCCGCTGATCAAAAACACCCTGCAGAGAAGTGACATAACTGAAAATCAGGTCTTTCTTCAATGGTACGATTTGGTTTTGGTTTCATTAAATGTATGCGTTGTAATTTACAGTTTGTAATTCACAATCCACATTCACAGTCAACAGCAACAATGACTAACTTAGTACCACCACACATTTAGGTAAATCTGTGGATTTAAAATACCCTTTTAGGAACCCAGAATATCAGTGGATAAGAAGCTTTCAGGTAGGATAAGAACATGTAACCTATGAAGAAACTTAATCTTTTAGAAATAATCATCCTTCTCTGCCATACTAACAAATGAACTAACTTCTCTAGTCATTTAAATGGTTAAGTACAATATTAAATGCAAATTAAAAGATTCACAAAGAATATGTTTTCAATTAAACAATAAACAGCATTTAATTATACATTAATCCTCATTTTAAAATGTCATCAGCTTAGTGTAAAAAAACATTTCAGAACAATTTAAATGGAAAAAGCACAGAGATGACTACATAAAAAGTCACACTAACAAAATTATTACTACAAAGATTAATTTGTAACCCTTTGTGTGTAACTAGTAGAAATTAGGTTCTTTGGGGACTTGCCAATCCTATTTACATGGAGATCTCTGAACCAGCAGATATTTTGTTTTTTCTTACACTGTTAAGTAAAGTACCAGTGTATCATTAAAAAACATAATGCTTAATCTATAAAAAAACAAATCAGGTAGACGCAGCCTTTCCCGGTGGTACAAAATCTTTATTTTAAAGTTACCCATCACACTAAGTGTTAAAGAAACTGTTACAAATTAGAGGACAAATCTCTATATTGTGTGATTTCAGAACACTGTGATGAGAGAAATGAGACAAAGTGTTACCTTTACAGCAGTTATGAGGCGAACATAGTCACTGAGCAGCTCTGAGAACAGGTAGAAATCTGCATAGGCCTGTTCTTGATGCAGCTGATCAATCTTCTCCTCCACTTCGGCCAGCTGGGACAGTGCCCGAGACAGGGCTGTGTGGTCCTCAGAGTTCCCCAGCATGGCTGCACTCTTAGCAAAGGCAGCTGTGTTTACCGAGAGCTCTGAAAGGGAAACACCATGTCAACATCTCACAGCTAGGCTGCCCTTGATCTAGAAAGCGCATGTTGGCACCAGGTGCTCAGAGACACATGGGTGTTTTCAACGGTAGGAGGGAGAGACAATGTTTTTTTAACAAATCAATTTTAAACAAATCTCTCTGATGCAAACAAAAGAGAAAATAAAGCATTTTTTGCAAAACCAGTTTTATGTAAAGTTAAGCTTTACATTTTAAGTTCATCTCAACATCAGCTATCAGCAACCTACTCATTTTCTAAATATGTATCTTAAAGAAAATGAAACCACGAAACACAAGAAATATAATTTTTTTAAAAAACTGAAGCGCAAATGCTTTCTTAAAACTAAAGGCTTTAAACGTTTAAACCTGGCAGTACAGCACGTATAGATAATACCATCACCAGTTGATGGAAACACCCTGAAACTGCTTTAACTGAGCTGAGCGATACTGTCACCTTGAGTACATCCCTTCAATTCCTTAATTTGACTTCTTTTAAACTCTGTTCTTCCTACAACATTATTTTTCCCATAACAAAGTCTGTCCAAAGCAATTCCATTGTTTTGTTGAAAAATAATGTGTTGTTTTACTAAGCTATTGTAAAAATCCCAAAATTATTTCTTAAAAAAACTATGACTATCTCTGACTGTGTTCACTGAACTATTAAATGAACACCAACCTTTCCTGTGACACACCAAGGCCTCCACACTTGTATGCAGTTTCCTCAATTGTTGGTCCAGATTCTCAAACTGCTGCTGCTTTTCTTCAAACCACTACCAAATGAAAAATGGACTTCATTTACTAAGTGCAAACCAATACAAATGGGGTTTTCCACCAGCAAACTATGTTTCTCATTTTAGGAAAAATCAACAAATTAACGATGTATACAGTTGAAGCCTATTTAATGTAGCCAGGTCATCCAACCACATGGCAAATTACTATCCCTTCTGTACAGGCACAGTCCTACAATGCAATTGGAGAGGCTCATTAATTCATCTCATTATTCAAGTCCAAAAATCAGCCCTTACCGCATCCGATTCATTCATCTTGATTGTCATTTTGTTGACAGCGTCGGCAGCTTTGTTTACCATCCTCAATATTCCTGCCCCACTCAGCGCCTGGGTGCTAACTGCTCTCGGCAGCTGGAATCAAATGACAAATAAGGGCAAACAAACCGGTTAACAGGCTAGAGGTTTGATTGGATGCCACAGGGAAAAAGGTGTTAGAACGGGATGTGGGGTTTTCTCCACTCTCATACATTTCAATACTGTAGGATCTAATTTTGTACATTTACTTCTCAAACTCTCAGAGGAACAACAAACAAAAAAGCTTTCAATTCCTGACTTTTTTCTTCTACCCCTACGGACCACTTTCATTAGAAATGGATGAACACAGCTGTTTGTCAAAAACAATTTGCAGTGTGTAACTCACTGGTCACTTAAGGCGTGAACTGTAAGGCGAGCTGTAACAACAAGTGTCAAAATCCAAAGTCCAATTTAGCTTACAGATGGGTAAAGGAATGAGTATCTGAAAGTCAGCTATATTTTCACAATATTACAGAAATTAGTTTCTCCTTACAGCAGCCTTTAAGAAATGAACCAAACTTATTAAAAGTTTCTTCATTTAAAGTGTTTTCTTCAAGTAAATATTAGCTCCAGTTTCATGTGTACATTTGACTTGCCTTTGCTTTGTAAATGTTGCATACTGTCCTTGGCATTTCAAAGCTCAAGAATATGTGTCCTACACATGTGAGCACTAACTACAACAGATACAGTATCTTTTAGACAGGAAAACATAATGGACAGAACAAAAGCAAACAAAAGAAACAATGCAGCTCATAACCGGAACAATCCTAACAAAATAACAATACAGGAATTAATGTTGAGGGACCACATTTTCAAATGTGAAATGTGAACTCACAGGAGTGCTGATACGTAAGAAAAATGATTGCAACAGTTCATTCAGCCAAGCCAGAGACTCAAAGAACTCAAAGAGCTTATCCCCACCTCCCTCCTAACACTTTCGTAACATTCAATTCAAGAGTTCAACTTCAACAGAAATCATCACATTCCATTATTGTGATTAAATATGTTCTTGCTTCTTAACCTTCTTACTCAACCGACATTAAACCTTTTTTGCTGAACTAATCAACTAAGATTGCAAGCTTCAAGACTGTATTGACTCTCACAACCATGGAGGGTCTCCTCATAACTGACCTGTTTAGACAAAGATTGTGTACCTCATATTACAATCCTCCACTTCACATATACTGGCTGCATCCTAATCTATCACATTTTCGCTTTTTAAAATACCATAATTTTTACTTCCTAGATATTCACCATCTAAGCCACCACAGAGCTCTTGCTTCCATTTTCTGGTAAAGTTTACCAAATGTTTTTACCTAATTGATAACATGCATGGGAGTGAATTGTTAATTAATTGAGAAGGTAATGTCTTCATGCCCTGGAATTATGCATGTTTTCATCACAAAATTAAATTAAAATTAAAAAGACCCAAGTTGTAAAATACAGATTTAGCATCAAGGAAAGGTAAGAGCAAATTAATTTTTAATTCAAGACTACCTTTGTTGACCTTTTCTAATTCGTTAGACACCTGAGCTCCTGTCAATTCAATAGCATTGCTGTTACTGAACACTACCGCTGTATTACAACATCACCACAAAGTTAACACACCTCTGAGCTTTCCAAAAACTGCAGTACATCTGGGTCCTGTAGCAAAGTGGGATGCTTTACTGTCCTTACCAAATACCTGTGAAGAAACAAAGAACAGTGCCTTAAGTACCCTAAAATAATGCGGTAATACTGTATAAATTCATTTAGTCCAGGACAAAATGCACAGCACTGATATTTGCGAGTATCACATTTGAGATTTTGCCTATTCGTGCAAACGTATTTGTGATCCTATATTTCATCGGCATACAAAGAGTTAACATGTTTGTGTAGAAGTGCATACCCTAATTTCCCTATATGGTGTTACTGTAAGTCCCACATGTGTACTAATCAGAATTAGTACAGACTACAATGTACCTAGCCCTTATAAATAACAAAATTTTACTGTGCATAAAAATATGAAAAACAGAACACTAATTTACCTTATGATCTGTCTTAACCCAACACATTTGTTTAGAATTGTTTATAAATTCTTGACATTTCTTCTTAAACAAATTGTTAGGTTTCACAAACACAAATACAGCCAGAGAAACAACTGGGTGATGGTCTATAACAATAAGAACACCTGTCCATTCAAAAATTGATGATAAGGTTCGCAAGATTTGAAGTTATTCATAAATGTCATAAAAAGCTACAGAGACAAGAAAACACAAAACACAAAAGAGTTTAAAGGATACACACTGTACAGTATTTTAAAATACAGGAACAATGGAGTATGACAAAGAAGACAAAAATACTTCCTCTTAAAATAAATCAAAATAACCAATCTTTCCCTTAAAAAATAAAGTAATTTTAACACATGACACGGTTCTATTGTAATTCCTTGAAAAGCAACACAATCCGCCTCTGTTCGTTTTCTCTGTGGAAATGTTGGGATGTTACTCACAGAGAAAGGGCCCACTCCTGTATTCAACACCAGACACCGAGTAACCTAAAACAAACCACCTGCTCAAACTAAATGGCAACTTTTTTTTTCTTTATTCCTCTTTTTATTTTTTAAATCAGGAGCCAGTTCTTCACAGCTGAAGACTATAACTTGACATCCATGGCCCCAGAGTTAACACTGACCTTCAAGTCAATCAATGTGATTATAAAAAGGGCAGAGAAATGTCAAACTCTCACTTAACTTTAATTTTTTATTCAATGCATCAGAATGCACAAAACAAAGAATACTATAGTGGATCACAAGCAGACAAAATACCAGCCTTGTCACAAATACCTGTCAGAAGGGTGAACTGGATACAGCCTGCTATAAAAACTGCTGCTGTGCTAAAGTGCTGTCAAATCTGAGACCCTAGAGTTCAGTAATAATCATTCTTCTAATATTTTGTTGCTTAACCTTTGTACAATAAAAGACCAGAACAAGAGTGCTCTTTATACTGGAGTGCTTTTACATAAATTTGTTCCGAATAGTGTATTATACATCCTCCCACCAGAAACCAACGTGCTCGGAATTGGCAATGAATATGTTTAACCCTGCCACCAGATACACAGTGTTCTAGGGAATAATCCAGCCACAGTGGAACACCATTATTAGGTTAGTATTGAGAACAGCTTCAGTGTTTAATTCAGAGCAACTAGCAGACAAACCAAGTGCATTACCAGGAAGTATATCATTAATATGATGTTTATTTTTTACCTTCATGTTTTTCTCACTGCTGACGATACAAACCTTCAAGGGCAAATAATTATTTTCTTACTTGCCATAATGATCCTCTGATCTATAGGCCAACTAACAATCCTTACAATATATGGCTGTGATCGGTGTCTTTCAAAATGAAAAATTAATCAAACTCATTAAATGAATGCTCTGATTTTTAATTGGTCAACTGGCGGTTTTACAAATGGTAACAGGGTATTGCACTGAACAAGGTCAAGAACAAGGACTAGAACAAGACTTTTAAAAGGAACGATGAGTTATGGTAAAACAAAATTTCTACATATATTTTTAGCCTAAATTATAACAAAGAAAGTAAAATATTACTTTTTTCCCTGTCCTGTATGTTTCAGATATTTTGGCTGTATTAGTGTTGATATTATTTTGTACCTTTAGGGATAATAATAATTATTAACCTTAGGATTAATAATAAGAACAAAATATGTACTTTAAGGATGCTGTTTATGTAAGGATTATTATACTTTCAAACTACAAGACACTGCTTTCAGTATCTTGGAATTCTGCACTGATTTTATATGTTCTATTTTGGAACAGGAAATAGAAAATAATGATCATAATGCAGACGAATACAAAGCCTAAGAATAACATTTCATATCTAATAAAAACCAGGAAGATATTGACCTAGATAGTTCATTAATAATTACAAGACAATGGTAAAAGTGTTCTTGCTTTCTTATAAGTTTTTTGTATTTTTGGCTGCTGAAGAAGAGATGGTTGAGTAAGTGCAGAGCAGAGTTCAGGAGTTGGCATTTATAGTACCTTTCTAGTGCTGATCTTCGTTTCTCTACAAATTCTGCAGATGATGAGTCTTCTTTGCCAACTTTGACCTTTGTCATGCCTGTAAATCATTAGCAAAACATAACTTTAAACAGTTGCAAAGAATGTGCAAAACTGTAAAGACAAACACTCAATGAGAAAAAAAGGGCAGTGACAGCATTGCTTAAGTGTTTTAGACTGTAAATGTATTATCTGACAGGTTTTAAATGTGTCAATATATAGATCAAGAGGAATGGAAACACAAAGCAAGGACTAACTGAATCATTCAAACAATCTTTGCATTTCATAAACATTACCATGAGTAAGAACACAGCTTCATTACAAAAAGATGGGGAGGAAATAGTTAACACTTTAGAATAAGTGCATGTATTTCTAATGGAATTTTGTAGGAAGTAAAACAATTTCTTATGGACTTCATATGAAATGTACTTTAAGTCAAGGTGTACTTAAGTCATGGACGATTCATATGTCATCACCCGTTTCCATGAATTAAACATGAACAGCCACTCAGTGCAAAATATTACCAGTTAATAGATTTTTTCTCTTACCCACAATGCTTTTTTCTGGTGCTGGAGGAACTATATATCCTATATGCATGTACTTTGTGGCTAGCTTACTATGCAGGCCCAAGAAGTCACTAAACCTTCTCTTCACTGAAAATTCATTCCTGTTGAAAATTGATAGGGAAGTCTGGATGGGAAAGAGCATAAACAAAAATCTCAACACTCTAATAACATTTTTATGAGTAAACAGAAGTACAATTACACATGTATACACACTGATAATAATACCTCTCCAAAACACGTTGGTGTTGAAATAAGTATAATTTTTTAAAATGGGCTCCATGCAAATGGAGACAAAGATTTATGACAAAAATATCCTAAGCTTAATTACAAAGGCATGGGTCTGAAAATGTAAAGAATGATTTAATATTTGCAATGATCTTCAAATACTGAACCATCTTCAGTGAAATGTCTATTCACTGAGCATCAAAAGAAATCCACTAAGTTATTATCAGGAAAATTACAATACCTTCTGTAGCAAGAACATTTTATTTAAATGACAAGACTTACGCAAAATCATTATACTGAGCATTTGTCATCAAAAGGGTCTAGTATTATGCCACAGATCATACTGCAAATGCTGTCTTGTAGGATTCTGTCCCTTTCCTCTCTTAAAGTGAAACTGCAATGCTATTTTTATATTTTGGGCTTGGAAAGAATCAGCACTGATGAGTGCATTTCAAACCACAATGAAAGTAAAATGTACATGGTCCTATAATATTGTAAACAAGCTTGTGAATACATCACTGTTAATCCAATAGAAATATTGCTCTCAACTTCTCGCCAACAAATACTCCTTTTTAATTCTGCAAGAAATCACGCCGGAACAACTCTGTGGTGAAACATCAGGTGTACAACCTATACTTATGCGCTTGTACATCATTACATTTGTCATTACAGTATCTAGTGAGCAGGAAGGGCAAAATTCAGGATTTTATGTTTAATTCAGAATTTGACAAATTTAGTGATGCCGTCAATTAATTATTATTTTTTAAGAGCTTTAATAACTAGTCTGAGAAATTGGGACTGCTGTTCCCCTTTAAAAGCCTGGTCAAGCATAGAGTTCCTGTTCACTGGTCATTAAGTCTAAGTGCCACACATCATCCCAGTTCAACCTACAAATGTTCAACAAGGCTCAGGCTTAGAAGGTCGAGCATCCAAGGCATAACTGACACGTTCTGAACTTGTGAGAAACTTTTTGTTACACCAGTAGCATGAGGATGTGCATTTTAGAGTGAGAGGTTAGGTTGCCAACATTTCTGTGTTATGACCTGGCAATTTTGAGGCTGTGCAACTGGCAGTGTGACAACAATCACGAAGATGGAAAGTGATGATATGTCAATCTTGGCAAACCCGTGGTCTATCCCTGATGGCCTATGTTTGGTTGCAATGTTTTAAGAGATTAGAAAGTTCTGGTCCTGAATACCCCTGTTGGCAATTTATAGTACAGTAACTTAGCCAAGCCTCTTACAAACTGATTGCTGATTGAAGGCTCTGATCTCTTGATAAGCAGGGCATATTGGTTCTGTTCCATTTTACTTTCGACAAGACTTGACACCCAACAGGTTAAATCACTTCTTTACCTGGGCCAAAATCTGCTCCATCACAAGTGAAGCAATGTAGTGTTTATGCAGAACTTACTGGAATGTGTCACGGACAGTCATAAACGGTCAATTAATCAAACTGACTCTGTATGTATATAACAATAAGCATGCATAAGCAAATAAATAAAATGTGTTTAATGCTTAGTACATAATAAACTGAAACGTAGTGTTACTTAGTGTTTACACAAGTCCATTAGGCAACTTTTAAATCAGTTAGCTTGAACATTAAATATCAGAGCACATAAACTTTACATGTTTGAAGACATCAGAACAATGAAAATATCTCTGTATGTGCTCTTTACACAACAAGTTACTTTATTTCATGTTAATTTAATTAATGAAAAATAAATCTAATTAAGAACTGAAAAATTTCCTGAATCAGAACTTTGTTCAATTCCAGAAATTTGTGAAATTACTGAATCAGAACTTTGTAATTTGTTAAGTTCACTGAAATGTAACATGTAAATGTAAATGTTAAATCCTACCCTTATGCTACAATCATACAACTGTACAGATGCTAGACAGAGGAGGAGATGGATTTAATATGAGAATATGAAGGATGAGAACAACTAGAACTTTATCTAAATACAAAGTTTTTCTTCTGGCACACACCCAAACAGTGCATCACACAGTCTACACCATCCCCGCTGACAAGCTTGGTGATGGGAGCACTGTTATGTGGCTAGTTCTTATAAGCAGGGACTGGGAAGGTTGTCAAGATTAAGAAAAAAATAGATGAGGGAAAGTACAGGCAAACGTAGGAGAAAACTTACTTCAGTCTGCTAAAGGCCTAAAACTGGGATGAACATTCACCTTTCGGCTTGACCCAAGTCCTTGGCCAAAGCTAAACTAGTGGCTTAATAAGAAGAAAATGAATATCTTTGAATGGCCCAGTCAAAGTCTTTTCTTCCATCAATCCACCCATTTCATATCCACTTAATCCCATACAGGGTTGCAAGGGAGCCAAAGCCTATCCTGGAAAGCAACAGGTGCAAAGCAGGATAAACCCCTGGCCAGGAAGCCAGTCCATCACAAGGCACACACAGACACAAACACGCACACACTCGCACCAGGACCAAGAAGGCAATTAATGTAGCAGTACGTCTTTGGACTCTGGGAGAAAATCCAAGTAAACGCAAAATGCAGGAGAACATACAAACTCCATGCATATAGCGCCAAGTTCCAGAATTGAACCCAGGGCTCCAGCACTGCAAGGCAGCAACACTAACCATTGTGCCACCATTCTTACTAGTAAAGATAAAAAAAAATCTCTGGCAAGACATGAAAATTTCTGTCTATCCCCAACTGACTTGAAAGAGCCTGAGCAAGAGATGATGAAAATTGCACCAAGCCAGTGTCCAAACTTGGCAGTGCTACAATTGATGCTTCCACCAAGTTTTCACTCAGGTGAGAGTATAATTCAAGATATTTTCATTTTCTTGTGTTTCTTTGCATTTTCTGCTGCCATTTGATGTCTTTCATACACACAATACTCTAGTTTGAGCATCTGGGTTTGAATTACAAATATTTGCTTTAAAAATGTGGATACATAATAATGTAATTCAACAAAATGGTACAGCGTTGGAAGGGCTTGAATACTTTTACAATGTAGTGCAAGGCTACTTGTTAACACTAACCACTTCTGAATGTATCATACAATTACAAATATTAATGTTAGCCTGTTAATTTCACAAATGGCAAAAACAAGGAGCCTATTCTTACCTTTGTTGTTACTTTGTAAGCCATATAAGCATTCATTCCATCCCCTTAAAATGAAAAAAAAACAAGCTTAAGTACTGTCACAGAGTCACTGTGAAAAAATCACAAAGTATTTCGCAACCAAATTAAGTTTATGAGTACGTTATTATACGGTTTTCTTTTAAAATCAGGTATTTATAAAATGGGCATAAAAATAACGTAACTCACCAACTTTTTCTGGATCAGACACAGAAATCCTTACATCAAATGAGTCACCATTTGTTTCTTCTTCTATCTATTACGGGAGAAATACATTTTAATTGTTTTTTGTAGTAATAAATGTATTTCCAGAGGATCGTTCCAGGAAAATAAAAAGATAATATTTAAATGACTGCTTACTGACATACTACTTGAACACATTTAATATTTCATTCACATTACCCAAACCACATAGTATTTACAGGTCTAAAGAAATAAAGGTCATGTAAATGATTAAACAAACACTGTTATACTATAAACCACTTTTAAGGACAAGCAAAATTAAGTTTCTATGCTAAAGGATCATCTGAAACAAATGAAACGTCCGACGAATTGGGTGACTATGACTTTTTTTCTGGATTTTGGGAAAAATCCAAGTCACTGTGTCCGTCCATAGGCAATAATATAACAACTAGAGGTTAATTTCACCCTAATTTGTAACAAGAAAGAAAAAACTGTTTCAGGTTTCGAGCCTTTTCCAGTTTCTACACATCAAAAAGTACTTTTTCCTCCTTCTTATTTTTTATTCACTCTAACCATATTCAATAATGGTCTCTGGCTGTCCTGCTTCATGTCCTGAAAAGACATTAATGTGTATAGGAAAGTAAGTTAAATTCTTGACTACTGTGCCTGCCTGTGCAATGAATATAACAGCTACAAAGCATGGAATAAATGTATTACTTGTTTCTTTATATATTTGTTATACTTGCTGTGCTGCAGTATTTCCCTACTTAATCTACCAAACAACTTGCAGAAGCCCCGTCATCATATTCAATGAAAGACCCTGATACACCCAGAATCATGCAGACAACAGTGCCAACTAATGTGAAAAAACACATGATATTTTGACCACAATTTCCTGGCACTTGATGATCTCCCCCTGACTTAGGGGTGTAGGGATGCAAGAAGTTACAGCACAGTTCAGTGAAAGTTTGAAAAGAGTTATTATCTTTTTATGAAAGTAAAGACATTTTGACATTAACATTTAGGTCCATCATACTGGCTACTATACATAGTACAATAGTATATCTGACAAAGCTTATCCTCACCTTCCAGTTTCTCTGAAATTACAGAGACTATATTTCTATGACAACTTTCCAAACAACATATGTCAACAGAGCTTAACCAATTTAGAAAGCACACGGTGAATTTCCCCCTTATATTTTATGCCAACGTGAACATTATCACAAACATTGGGATGTGTTGTTTTTTTTTTTGTTTGCTGGCATCCCACCCAGGGGAGAAGCACTGTTCTCCTTAATATATAACCACCCGATTTGGAGTTTTCAATTATTTTAAGACTTAACCGACCAGCAACAACTTGCACCCCTCAGGAGAGAATGAGACATATGAGGATGCCCATCTCACATGCCCACCTGCAGTGCCATTCAATATTTGACACTTTGCAAGCTCCACAGCTCTTGAAAGGAGAGTTAGCACCCATGCGAAGAGCAGCATGTCATTGAAACAGCTTGCAGGTGCCCAGGAAGTTGCCATTTCCCAGAAAGCCCAGAGAGCCCTGACTATTCCCAAATCTATCCAGGCAGAACTCTGCAAATCCTGGACTGCCACCTCTGTCCCAGCCACAACCAACTCAGCCCAGGTTCTAATTAGTGACATCTGAATACCAACCTTACCATCTGAAAGGAATTTAGGTTGTGTTTACACCAGCAAAAGTTTCCAGAATATGTCTACTTGCCATCTTGTTCTACAATATCTGTGCAGATTTACAGCAGGGCTCAGCCACAGGAAGCTAAACTGAATGAAGAAATTTACCTCCTCTTTGGATCTCTCAAACATGGCAGGAATAGAGATTGTTTTTGGTTCTACTCGGGGCGTAACAAGAGCAGTAGGAGTCACTGGGGTGATGGCGGGAGATTGCTCGTCAGAGAGGATAGCTTCCCTTTCTGGACTGTCAAGAGACACTTCCTCCGTAGCCTCTGAGAGCAGAGAAGAAAACAAAGTGCTGTCAAGTACACAGTAACAGAAATAAAAGTTTACTGCACCAACGAAAAGGGTTAATAAAATACATGGAAAGAGAATTTAAGAAGAACCAAGCCTGGCAGAAGGGAGAGGGAAGTTAATAAAAGGAATGCAGCAATTTAGAGAGTAAGAAGAGAGACTTCACCTTAGCAGACATATTTGGATGATAAATATTAAACCTATTTCAAAACAAAATGGAACAAAGTCCATTTAGAATTTAACTACACCTGGAGTTTTTTTAAAATATGTCATTATTTATTTAAAATATGCAATAAGTTCCCTAAGGTAAGATACCACATGTTCTTGTCATAAAACAACACACAGAAAAGAATAGATCAAACACACTCACAAAATTCATGATGGTATGAGTGGAGCCATAATATAAATCAAACTTATTTGAAGTCTCATGCTACCGTACAGTTAATTAATGTTCAACTGCGTAAACTATAAACTAACAAATAAGCCTTAAAAAGTATACTTTGAGTTTGGTGGCGGGAAATGGTGAAAACGTTAAAAGCCACACAGCAAATTCAAATTCGACATAAATTTTGCAAGTGCTGTGAGGTCTGACATCACGTGTCAGGGAACTGCACACACAAACTTAGTCACTGAGCTGCACAAGCTGGGAATGACCATTATTAAAGCACAAGGAAAGAGTAGGCTTTTGAAATGTGAAAATGTCATGAAATTGAAATAGTTTTCCTCCCACTGCAGAGAGACAATGCATGTAATTCTTTATTCCTTTTCAATTGCTAGGTCATTACTTTTTAATCAGAACTGAAGCTGCTGAAATGAAATCCAGAAAAGACTAAATATTGCCAATGTCCTTCTATTATTAAAGTCGTCTCAGAGAAGTTGATCGGTGCTGTTTTTCAGAAATGAGACTATATTTCTACTCACCAGAGAGAATATATCGAGGCAAAAACGAATGTCGACTAAAGTCACAATAATACAGTCCCACTGCTTGCAAATATATTTCTAGAGCTGTGACATTGATTTTATAGAGCTGCATAGATAAATGGGTCTAATTTCAGAACAGCATGTCTCATTATTTATTCATTTGTTTGACACCCATTTACAAAGATTGTCAAAGGAGGAAGGGTAGTGCTGTCTTTCCCTGACATCGCGTTGCCAAACACGTGTGCTCCACGCTGGCACCTGAAATCACAGTCAAGACTTGACAGCTCAGGGTAGCCTCTAAAAGCCAAAGCAACGTCAATCAGTGCCAACGCAACTAAAAAAAAAGCACAAAAAGAAATGTGGCAGCTGCTGAGACTCTCATTTTCTCAAACGCCTCAAGTGAGTTACCGCTCTGTTATGTGACTTTACATTGCTATTCCCATTTTTTGTCTACATTGTAGTTAAAAATGTAGAATTTAATCAAGGGATTTTTGGGGATTCTCATTTACAGTTGTGTACAGCTTTGTTACCAAAAAGTGGACACTACTGGGGTCACTATAAATTGCTATGTCGTATCTACAAAAACTACAGAAATACATGTGTGCAGGGGTACTGACAAGCCCAGTTGCCACCAATTTCCCTAGGTTATCATTTAAAACACTATGGTTGGAGTGCAATAGCTGATGAGGTCATGGGCCGAGTAAACAATGAAGGGTCAAACCAAGCCTTACATCCTGTTTTCATACAGAGAAAAGTTCAGTTTAAGTATAATTTCAGAGACAGATGACTTAAAACTTATTTGAGTTGAAGAAGTAGAATGATATCACAAAAAATATGGTCTGGAGATGGCCAATTAGTCAACTAGCTAGCAGTAATATAATAAGAACAAAGTATTATTTTCAGTCATTTAAGTGACATCACTGAACGTGACATTTGGTTTTAGTTCCCATAGTAAGTGGAATGTAGTCTAAAATAATGAAGTTGTGTTATACAGCAACAGGCAAAAGAACAAGTTCTGCTTCAGCGACAGTACCAGTACCAGCGAAATTACCAGCTGCATTAAAAATGCTTTGCAAGAGAAACATACATGTCAAAAGCTGTGGAGATTCAGCTTTAGACTTCAACTTAAGAAATAAAATTATCTTTCAAACTTCAAGTTCACATTCAAAATTTGCAAAGTTACATTACCCTGTTTTATTTCAAATGCCAGCTGTCTGAAAATAAAGCACTAGTTCACTCAGTAAAGAGTATAATCAGTGAATGCTTCAACAGATAAGTGTAAGATTACGAAACAGAAGTGTTGTACTTTCACATGTTGAAAAAAAAAATGGTTGAATTGAAATAAACTGTCACTGATGTGAAGATAAAGGACAAGTGATTTTATTCTGCATTCAGCTTATGGCACCATTGCCTGACAGTGTGTAAAATTGTTTAAGATGAACACAAACATACATATTTTAAGATATCATACTGGAGCTACTACATTCTATTTAAATGACATGGTCTGCCTAATTTATATTTAAAATTAATATAATAAGGAATATTTTTGTTAATTACAAGTGTTCCACCATTATCTTTACTAGTAAAAAATGAATTACTCTTCTTATTAGCACACATCTATACTCGTGTTTTCTTCCATTTTCTGTTTTTTCCATTGTCTCCACATGTACAGTATCAGCTAACAAGATTAATATGAAGTTAAATTTCCCAGAAAACTAAAACACATGAAAAACATATTCCCTTAAAATACAATAAACAGAAATATTCCCACATTTCCTAATTACATTAGAACAGGTTAGGAAGGCAATTACAGTTTGGATTAATAACAGCCATGAGTAAAAAGTTAAAACCCCTCAGTGGCAGCTAATCTTGCTCATAACTGTCCAAAACCACAGAATCAGAGACATTACCTTTACTAAAGTCACTGACTTTCATATAATGATTAATTTTTTCAATCAGCAAAGCTGATTAGTTTTGCCAGCATCTCAGTGGAAGACTGGCAAATCATTCTTCAGAGTTCACATTAGATAAAGCATATTTTTGCCATTTATAATCTACCATACAAAATAAAACATCCAAGATGAGGGTTAAAATAAGCTTGATAAAATTGTAGGCCCTACACTTTTAAAGTAAAGTTTTAAAGGCTCTCACATTGTCAAACTTTGCAAGCTTTGAAATTGAGAGCCCTTTCTAGAAACTTCAATAGGACCATTCATTTTAAAGTGGAACAAAGTTAACATGGTCAGCTTCTACCAACCACATTTTATAAAACTGCATCTGAATTATCTACAACAATATGAACCCTAGGTTGTCTCAATTACAGAGATGGCCAAAGAGAAATGGTTGTAATGTTGTATCAGATCTGTGGATAAAGAAAGCAGATTAATTACCAGCAAAAAGGTCCTCTCGATCATCATCTAATAAGATCTCGGTGGGTTTAGGGCCATTAGAGTTTACACTGATGTCTTCAGTAGGAAGGCTAGCTGGTTCTGGAGACGAAGGGCTGGACTGAAAATACAAAAAAAAGCAACAAATCACAATGCTTTGCTTCAGAAACCTTTCATGAATATTACTTGAATAAGCAGAATTGAGCAACTGGTATGTTTATTAAAAGTTTAATAAGAACTCTATATTGTTCCACCAGAAAAAAAAAACAATCCCAGTGTTCAGAGAACACAGAAAGGAAGCGAGGCCAAGTTTCAGCTGTTTCCATCTCCTGCTCTCTTGAGGATGACAATGGAGACAGGAAATGGTTCAGTCACTGGCCCATGCTGCTAAATTGTAATATAAGCGTCTCACAACAGCCTGTGATATTGATCTCTCAAGGATCCACAAAGTAGCAAATTTGCTTTTTGCGTTTTATCATAGTGTCTTTAATAATAATAACGCGAAGCAAAAATAAGAACTCAAAAGACCTTTCCTGAGTGAGACGTTCTCAGACTACCAATTTGTTCTATTTTAAACTGTAACTTTATAATTAAAAATAAGAATCTCACACATTTACAGCATAAAAGGTTCTTAATGTTGTTTTGGAATACGAAAAGTACTGCTACATCTGTAAATAAAGAATATTCGTTTTTTCAATATCATTGAATATATCTTTATCTGATATACATGTACTCAATGATTAACAAGAGAAGATGTTTTGAAAGGTTGCAATACCTCCTCACTTAGTACCTTTCCAATTTCAGCATTGATTAAATAAATTGGCGAGGTTTGGGACAGTGGAAGGTCATCCTCATACTCACATTTTCAGGAAGATTTTGTAAGAATAAGTTCAAAACTCCACCCAAACCTAATCAACATGCTCCAGCCTCCCACAATAAGTCATTGGATAAAAAGTACCACAATTCTGAAATTCAGTTAGCTGTAAAAGAAAGGCATCTTTGGAAAAAGTATAATTTCTTTAGTGGAAGTAAAATCAAACAGCCACAAAAAAACTGTATGCAGTCATGGTTTATACTGTCGACTCCAAAGGGCTCTGGAATCATATCTGAAGTGGAATGCTGTGTGCTCAGCTGAAATGCTTGGTAAAATAAAGAAATGATCACTAAATGTGAACAGCAGAGGGTCTACTACTTCAGCCATAGCTTTTGGGGCAGAGTGGCGGCTCTGGCTAAGGATCTGCGTCTGTGGCTGGGAGGTTGCCGGTTCAAATCCCGCAGCCGGCAGAGGAATCCTACTCCGTTGGGCTCCTGAGCAAGGCCCTTAACCCCAACTGCTCCAGGGGCGCCGTACAATGGCAGACCCTGCGCTCTGACCCCAGGCTCTCTCCCTATCTGTGTGTCTCATGGAGAGCAAGCTGGGGTATGTGAAAAGATAATTCCTAATGCAAGAAATTGTAAAGGGTTAATAAAGTAATGTTATATATATTATAACAGTACAGCACATGAAGAACACATACCATCCCCCTCTGCGAGATGTTGTGTGCCATAAACATTTTTCTGATTAGGTAATCAGATGGAAACCACTACAAACAACATCCTTGAGAAGGTTTGTTTACATTATGATGAAATGGTAATAGAAGGGTAATGTCAGGTTAAACATAGTCTTCTGTTCATTTTTTCCATCTCAGTGTAATAAAATGTCTAAACAAAGATTTGTACTATTGTTTTATTTAATTTGATGAGAATGAATCATCATTTTTTAGAAAACAGGACAGGCTTCAGCAAGAACAGTTCTATTAGCACAAGATCAGCTTTGCTCACTGCATCAAAACAGATTTTTTATTAGATATTATTTTATTAGATTTACTAATACTTGAACAGTGGGAATTAAAATTTGTAGAATTTTCTCTTCAATTGTTCATATAACAGCTACCTATTGAGTAAAATCAAAGGTCACTTTGGTTAATCTGTGCTGCTACCCAGCTATTTCAGTAGTTAACCAGTCAAGAGTCTGCAAAAAAACAAAGTACCAGTAAACATAGCAAGCATTATAAACTGCTCACAAGACAGACACATGACTTTTTTAACAGGAAAAGTGAAGATAAAAAGTAGAAAGCTGGCAATCATTGTTTCCTGGCTTCAGAGAGAAGAGCTGTAAATAATACAGTAAAAAGCCAACCATCTCTTACTATAATTTAGTAAAAGCTGAGACTGCAATTTGTAAGGGAAGTTTCAATCTTTAAAACATCTGGAAGAACCTCCCCCCTGCTTCACCACCAAACATACCGTACCACATCCTCTCTGTGTCTCTCTTACACATACGAGTCTGAAACTCATACTTTACAGTGAATTCAAGATAAACAGCTCTGTAAGCAGTGCCTCTACAACATACTCAATTTAGACCATGTTTAGTGTTAATGACAAGCTGCTTTACAAATTGTAGGCACCTGAGTTGAAATAACTATGGGAACACATGCTACATGTTTTCTAATGTTTCTTACATTTGATTTTTCTCTACAATTCACTATGATGCTGCTTGCATTCTTCTTGTACTCCAATGAGCAAGGTCTCTTCTAACATGAAAGGGTACATACATTTTGATTCTCCCTCATATATATGAAAACACATTAAGACTTCAAAACAATGTCATGTGCTGCGTTACATAAGACATTTTAAACTTAAGTACTGTGAAGTACTATTACATGTCTGCATTTAATATGCCTAGACGTCTGCTGTTCATGAAGTATAACATAATGCTTTCCTTTCAGTATTTCATTCGTTACTTATAAACAATGTGAATCATTAAAATACATCAATTATAAGTAATTAAATACTGTACAAAAAGGAAAGAAGCAGTCAGGAGGAAGAAGCAAGAATTTGTTATAATCATAACAGTAGGCTGATTTAACCTTACATCAGTATGATATAAAGGTAACAATGTACTTGACATGTATCTCGCGAGATACAATAAAAAACAAAGTTTAGTGCACAAGGACGTAATTTAGTATCACTGGATATTCAAAATAGAATACTGTTTTTTTCCACACTACTTTAAGAATCGTTTATTTATTCATCTGTAAGAGGGAGTAATAGACTGGCACATCCCCTATTTTCGTCTCACACATGCGTACTTACTCTGTAGCCTTTAACAAATCTTTAGTATACTGGTACGTGTTGGTAACGGGGGTTTTTTGTATACAGCTTTTTTTTAATTAAATTGATTCGCGAATCACTATCACTGGGATGTATCGATGTCAAAAAACAACGAAAGAGTTGTCCCTTCAAGGGAAATTCAAGTTACTGTAGTTGACACTTCCCAAGAAACATCGCCTGCGAGTCTTTATAGATCATTATAGAACACGCTTGTTATTGTTTAGTTCCAAATCCGTATGTGCTCAGCGGCCTCACCTCCAGAGTTGAGGCGGTGCTGACAAAGAGGTCCTCCCCGTCTTCCACTTCCCTGAAGTCGGTCTGCTCTGCATCTCCCAACGGTGGAGGTTCCCTCTCGGCCGCCATCTTCTTCTGGCAATAATAAATGTACCAAAAACAATCGAGAGAAACGGTGAGAGTCAGAGGGATCCGGAATTGTCATGTGACTCGCAGGAACAGCTTGGTCTTGTGACTCGCTGGAACAGATGACCGACCGGCATAACTCCGGCAACAATAACAAAATAAGGGAACTAGGCACACCTTTTGGTTTAGATGAGATTGTTTCTGGCAGGTTTGAAAGTTTAAAAAAGCACACTGACTTAAAGCTCACCTTTATCCCGGTTTTTGTCATTCTGCTTTGTTATAGTTATAGTTTGTAACCAGGATTTGTGTAAGATGTTACATGTGTTATTCGAAAATCTTCGTGAGCTGATCTTTTAAAAACAATGTTTTCGGTGAGTTCAGTTATTGGCAGAAAATTAGACTATGCACTTTAGACTTTATCTCCTTTGTTTACATCATAAATATGATTATGATTATATATTATTGTCATTACAATGATAAAACAAGCACATAAGAACAGAACATGTTTCCGTTTGTTTGCTAGTACCTATTGATACAAGGCCTTTTTCCAGTGCTTTCTTGAAAAAAGTCAGCAGATCAATTCCGAGATTATGTTCTATGCTCCTACAATCCTTTGTGAAAAGAAGCTCCACCTCAGTTTTGAATGTATCGGTTTTCAAAAGTACAGTACGTTGGGTTAGCTTTGGCAATGCATTTGAGTATTTTGAATTATTGTTTCTGGGCCCTCATCGTCTTTTCTGTTCAAGACTAAGATGGTTCAGTTGTTTCAGCTGTCAGTATAGGATATTTCTATGAGATATTTCTTTTCATTGGCTTAATTAAAGACCAGTAATGTAATTCTTGTGATTACCAAAATTACATATAATTCTCAATTTGGTTGTAGAAGTATAAATTTAATATAACATTTTAGATTTAAATGTGATTTTTAACTTTATTCCCAACTTTCTCTGTGCATTTAAATTGCTTTTTGTATAAGAAGTAAATAACATACTTGTTTTTCTCATAAGTGAGGTTTCAACCTCGTTATTTCCCATTACTCTAGACTAGTCTATATGAAATGTCCCATCTGCCAATTTAGTCTAAATATTTTGGAATCTCCTTTACAGCTTCTACCTGTAATTTCTAAATATTTTATGATGAACTTTATCACAGGCCTTCTAAAAGTACAAGTACAACATCATATGCTCTGTGTGAATCCATTACTATTGTTGCTTTTTGTAAAGTCTGAAGCATTGCTACTGTATGTGTACATGTCTTTCTCCATATTTTATAAAAAACAGAAACATTTTAGCAACTGACAGTGAAGAATATTCACTATGAGAGGATTGAAGATGTGTTCAAAACACATCTAAGGGGCATGTGGACAAACTTATTTCCAAATCTGAAAATCTTTTAGAGCTGCTTTTTGTTATGTTGGAGGAGTTGCTAAGCTTCAGAAAAAAAAAAACCCATACAAATACAGCTTTTTTACCTAATCATCTCTTCCAGTCTTAGGTAAAAAATCTAGGGCATGTTCTCCTTGGAAAAAAAAACATAACTACTTACATCAAAACGTCACCTTCCTGTCTTCCTCCTCTTTAATGGGCTACACATGCCGAATTGCCTCAGTCAGTAGTCCCTTTCTACCTGATATTTGCTTCAACACAGGTGTATTCACCTGGGACCACAAGGGAGATTTCTCTGTAGCAAAGGATTCTGGTTTTTGTAGTTTTCAGACAGTTCCATTTCTCTTAGCTGTCACTATACCACATAATGGTGCATTCAAAATTTGAAGCTAGAAAGATTTACAACATTACCCTTGGATAAAGTGCTAATTGCACATAGCCATTTGGACAAAAAAGCCCCTAATTAGTCAGAATAGAGTGGTTCGAATATGCATACACTCACAACACAAAGGCTTTTGGTTCTTGAGTCAGTCAGGCAGTTAAAAAAGTAACAGAAAAAACTTAAAGAAAAGCTTAGCTCTGTTAGAGTTACTTACTGACTTAAAGTTCTCTATCTAAATACCGGGGGCAGCTAACCTGCCACTGTTGTGTTTCTTTTCTGAATAAAACAGCATTTATCCCAATCAGGATAAAAAAGGTCCTTAGAGAGTCACACACAGTATAGCATTGCTGGATTCATATTTTGTTCGGTGTCCTCCTCCAGTCCTTAGTCTTGCTTCAGTTTAAGTCATGCCTCATTGATCTTCAGATTTTCTTCTTTATGGCTCTCTCCTCTTGTCTCAGGTCCTCTGGTTATATATCGCTGTTTTCAACCTTTGGTTGTTGAAAACAGTGGAAAAGGAAAGTAACTCTCTAGTCGTGGTTACTTTCCTTTTCTCTTCACCCCAAGTCTTACTGTGGCCTGCTTCCTCCCATCAGATGTAACACAGCTACAACAAGACAGTGTGTGCAATGTGACAACCTTCTGTCATTCTGTAATGCTTTCCCAATTTTAGGTGCACCTGCTACCGGTGAAATCATCAATTAATATAGGCTGATACAGGACAGCTGTTTCCTCTCCCAGCATTTGTCTGCTGAGCCCATCTTGGTGTTAACACCGGGCTGTTAACAAACCCTATGCAGGTCTCAAGATGCTTTCCAAAGCTAAGGTAGCCAAGACGGGAGGTCAAAGACTGGTCGGTAATTCCAAGCGAGGTCAAAGCCAGGTAGTCAGAACGAAGTCAGGTAAACAAATCTGAGAGGGGCAAGACGAGAGAGAGGTAGTAAGAAGTCCAAAGCTGAAGAGTTGTAGGTGAGGGGATCCAGAAGAGGTAGAGGGCGAGGTAGAGGGCGAGGTAGAGGGCGAGGTAGAGGGCGAGGTAGAGGGCGAGGTAGAGGGCGAGG